TTTCTTATAGCACAATATATATTGTCCGTCACAATCATATACCTTAACTTGTTCAGCTATTTTCCACTTGATAGACATCCCCTCAATTTCCATTTCTTTGCCACCAGAAAAAATCTACTATAAATATTTGGGCATAGTTCCAAATTGCTTTACATAAGGGTAGAATCAGTTCACAACTCCACCAGCAGTAATTTTCCTCCTTGCTGAAGGTACTCGGGTTCATACTGCTTGTTCCCTTTATTTTGTGCACTTGCATATAGAAGGACAGGGCCATGAGCTTTCTTTGTTGTTGGCTCCTTCCTTGGATGTAGCCCTCTGAGAATTTCTAGATACTTCTGTTGCTATTCATATTTCTAAATCATGGATATTCTCTGTGTTATCTAGATTAGTGGATCAAACATTATATATGTAATGTGATATACAAACTTTAAAGCACTACATACAATAACGTGGGCTTTCTTTCCCTCTGCTTTCCTTTTTAGTTTAACATCCTTTTTATGGGAGTAAAAGCAGTGACTTGCTTGTGCTCTTCCCCAAACCCCTCCAAATGCCTGTAAAAAATGGCTCTAAACAAATTCTGAAGCAGCAGAGCCTACAAAAAGACAGAGTGAAACAAATTTCCAGCCCCAGACAACCTGGATGGTTGATTAGAAAGGTCTATTGTGCTGGGCTGGGAGAGGAATGCAGTTCAGCATGGGCTCAGAGTCAAAGCCTGGGCCTCAGTAAAGCTGGAGCAGGCCTCAGAGGACTGAATCACGGGCAGCTGTGGCAGTTTCCAGGCTTCTCAACCCACAAACACCAAAGACAACTTACAAGGTCAGTAGGAAAGGTCTGTGGACCATGGTGAGAGAGGAGCTTGGTCCAGCCCCAGTCCCCACACAGCCCTAGGGTGGATGCTTTGCTCCACAGACTGAAGGGGAATCTAGTGGCTGAACAGAGGGGGATTGCAGGGATCTCTTTGCTGGTGCTGAGGCAGGAATCTCTTGCTTTGCTCGTGCTTGGATCTAGGTCACAGTTCTGGGTGGCAGTCCTGGGGTAAGGAGGAGCACTAGCCTGGTGGAGCTTGTGGCCGCCATGAAGAGGGAATCCTTCTCATGCTCCAAGGCAGAACAGAGTGCTTGTGTCACTCATAGACCAGAACACTGGCCAGGAAAGGAGTAAACACTTAGCCCTTGATCATACCACCTTGGAAGAACTGAAAATTTACAGGTCCCTGGAAGTACCTCTGAAAACAGCTGCATAAAACCCCTGAAGCTTGGGACAGTACATTCTCCACACTGGAAGCAGAACCCTACCTTAATAAAGAGTTTAAAACTCAAATTTTAATAAATGGCTGGGATCATGAGCAAACAGCACAAAAAGAGTCAGACCATAGAATCTTACTTTGGTGACAAAGAAGATCAAAATATACAACCAGAAGAAGGCAACAAAGTCAAAGTTTGTACATCCAAAGCCTCTAAGAATCAGTCCCAGGCCATGGAAGAGCTCAAAAAGGATTTTGAGAAGCAAGTAAGAGAAGTAGAGGAAAAACTGGGAAGAGAAATGAGAGCGAAGCAAGAAAATCATGAAAAACAAGTCAACAGCTTGCTAAAGGAGACCCCCAAAATACTGAAAATAACACCTTAAAAAATAGCCTAACCCAAATGACAAAAGAGGTCCAAAAAGCCAATGAGGAAAAGAATGTCTTCAAAAGCAAAATTGGCCAAATAGAAAAGGTAGTCCAAATACTCACTGAAGAAAAATACTTCCTTAAAAATTAGAATTGAGCAAATGGAAGCTAATGACTTTATGAGAAATAAAGACATTGTAAAACAAAACCAAAGGAATGAAAAATAGAAGAAAATGTAAAGTATCTCATTGGAAAAACAACTGACCTGGAAAATAGATCCAGGAGAGATCACTTAAAAATTATTGGACTACCTGAAAGGCATGAATCAAAAAAGAACCTAGGGGCAGCTAGATGGTATAGTGGATAGAGCACCAGCCCTGGACTCAGAAGGACCTGATTTCAAATCCAGCCTCAGACACAAAACACTCACTAGCTATGTGACACTGGGCAAGTCATTTAACCCCATTGCCTACCAAAAACAAAACAAAACCAAAAAAAAGAGCCTAGACATCATCTTTCAAGACACTGTTAAGGAAAACGGCCTTGATATTCTAGAGGGTAAAATAGAAATGGAAAGAATCCACCAATCGCCTCCTGAAAGAGATCCCCAAAGGCAAACCCCTAGGAATATTATAACCAAATTCCAGAGTTTCCAGGTCAAGGAGAAAATATTTGAAGCAGCCAGAAAGAAACAATTCATGTATTGTGGAAACAATCAGGATAGCACAAGATTTAGCAGCTTCTACATTAAGGGGTCAAAGGGCTTGGAATATGATGTTCCAGAGGGCAAAGGAGATAGGATTACAACCAAGAATCACTTACCCAGCAAAACTGAGTATAATCCTTCAGTGGAAAAAATGGAAATTCAGTGAAATAGAGGACTTTCAAGCATTCTTAATGAAGAGACCAGAGCTGAATAGAAAATTTGACTTTCAAATACAAGACTGAAGAGAAGCATGAAAAAGTAAACAGGACATAGAAATCATAAGGGACTTATTAAAGTTGAACTGTTTACATTCCTACATGGAAAGATGATATTTGTAACTCATGAGACCTTTATCAGTATTAGGGTAGTTGGAGGGGAAAAAAAAATATATATATATATATATGTAGATAGATAGATAGATAGATAGATAGATAGATAGATAGATAGATAGATAGATAGATAGAGGGCACAGGGTGAGTTGAAGATGAAAGGGGATGATACCTAAAAAAATAAATTAAGGGGTAAGAGAGGATTATACTGGGAGAAGGAGAAAGGGAGAGGTAGAATCAGGTAAATTATCTCACATAGAACTGACAAGAAAAAGCTTTTACAGTGGAGGGGAAGTAGGGAAGGTGAAAGGGAATGAGTGAATCTTATTCTCATCAGATTTGGCTTAAGGAGGGAATAACATGCACACTCAATTGGGTATGGAAATCTATCTTACCCTACCAGAAAATAGGGGAGAAGAGGATAAGAAGGGGGGATGATAGAAGGGAGGGCAGATTGGGGGAGGGGTAATCAGAAGCAAACCGGAGGAGGGTCAAAAGAGAATAAACAGGGGGTGGGATAGGATGAAGGAAAATATAGTTAGTTTTTCACAACATGACTACTATGGAAGTGTTTGGCATGACTACACATGTATAACCTGTATTGAGATGCTTGCCATCTCAAAGAGGGTGAGTGGGGAGGGAGGAAAGGAGAGAATTTGGAATCCAAAGCTTTAAAAACAAATGTTAAAAAAAAAAAGACTCGTGAAGGAAAATGCTATCCATATCCAAAGAAATAACTGAGTCTGAATGTAGACCCCTAGCATACTATTTTCACTTAAAAAAATAGTTGTTTATATGTTGCTTTATAAGTGTTCCTGAGTGTTTCTCCCCCATGCATTTTATCTTCTCCACCAGATAGTAAACTCCCTGAGGGAGGTGACTAAATATCATTTTCTTGGCATTCTCCTCAGCTCTTCTACATACTAAATACACAAGAGAAATGTTGACTGAGAGAGTTTGAGAAGTCACCTAAAAACAATATAACTACTTTGTGCAAACTGTATTACAAATTATTTTTTAAATATCCATTTGTGAATCCTTATAAGCAGTGATATCAAATTTAAATAAAAACAGGGACCACTAAGCCATATTTAAGGATCTCCATTGGCTTCATATTGACTTAGAAAACTGTATGTTAATGTTATCCATGTTCTGTTGTATTTTTGTTTATTTTGTTAAATATTTCCCAATTAAATTTAAATCTTGAACCAAGAAAAAAATCCTTTTCAAAAGATTTGAAAAAAATGTAGGTATGTATATATATATATATATATATATATATATATATATATATATATATATATATATATGTATATGCATACACATGTCATATAGATAAATATAGATATGTATGTAAATATATAACTTTTATTTTCACCATCCACCATTCTTACATTTTAAGCTGTGGTCCAGAAATCTAAAGTCTGTCCTCAAGTGCCATCTTCTTAAGCAGCTGTTGTTCACTTCCCAAAGTTGTCTTTTTCTTCTAGTGCCTTAGATCATCAGCACTGATGAAAACACAACCTGTGTCCATAAGATCTTTAGGTTTTTGCCTGTGGGCTTCATTGTTCTTAGTGATATTCAGACACTACTAAATGCAAAGCACTTTCAGCATAATCCTTAGTGCTCATTCTTTATAGAGATGGCAAGATTCTTGTCAGAGTACTCCTTAATAGGCTGATCCTTCACCTGGAAGGGAATCTACCTGAGAGCCAGTGTGGCTTCAGAAAGGGCCGAGGAAAAGTCGATATAGTGTTTGTTGCCTGACAACTCCAGGAGAAATGCCAGGATAAGAACAGAGGTCTGTATACAGTTTTTGTAGATCTGACCAAGACCTTTGATACTGTCAGTCATGAGGGCTTGTGGAAAATTATGCAAAATTTGGTTGCCCAGAGAAGTTCATTAGCATTGTAGGTCAGTTTTATGATGGCATGCTTGCATGGGTTTTGGGTAATGGACAATGCTCTCATGTTTTCCCAGTCACCAATAGAGTGAAATAAGGCTGTGTGCTTGCTCGCACACTTTTTACTATGCTGTTTTCTATGAGGATTAACATAGCATCAAGGTCAACTACTGCAATGATAGGAAATTCTTCAACTTGAAAAGGCTACAAGCCAAGACCAAAGTGGAGGGACTGTTGGGGAATGATTTTCTGTTTGCAGATGATTGTGCACTCATTACAGCCTCTGAAGCTGAGATGCAACAATGTATGGATCGATTCTCTGCTGCTTGTGGTAATAATTAACACCAAGAAAACACAGGAGCTCTCTCAGCCACCACCACACCATACATACACGTGGAACCATTGCTTACAGCAAATGGAGCAGTTTTGAATGCTATGGATAATTTCACTTACCTTGGTAGTATACTTTCCATGGGTGTACACTTTGATAATGAGGTTGACACACGCATTGCAAGAGCTAGCTCGGTGTTTGGGAGGCTAGGAAAGAAAGTATGGGGAGAGAAGAGGTATTAGACTGACTACCAAACTGAACATCTACAGAGCTGTTGCGCTGACCTCATTGTTGTATGCCTGTGAAACCTGGACAGTCTACCAGCACCATGCCAGGAAACTGAATCGCTTCCATTTGAATTATCTTAGGAAGATTGTGAAGATCACCTGGCAGGATAAGATACCAGACACTGAGGTAATTTCTCGAACTAAATTGCCAAGCATCTGAACTCTGCTTCAGAAAGTACAGCACCTATGGGCTGGCCATGTTGTTTGAATGCAAAACGTATGCTTGCCAAAAAGACTATTTTATGGAGAAGTCACACAGGGCAAGCATTCACATGGTGATCAGAAGAAGTGACACAAGGATACTCTCAAGGTCTCTCTTAAGAACTTTGGAATTGAGTATGTGATGTGGGAGTCACTGGCACAGGACTGCTTAGCATGGTGTGCCCACATCAGAGGAGGTGCTGCGCTCTATGAGCAAAGCAGAATTGAAACAGCTCAAAGGAAATGCAGGCTGTGCAAATTTAGAGAATCTGCCCTAAATGTTCACGTGGACTATTTGTGCCCGACCTGTGGTAGAACATTCCAAGCTCCTGTTGGTCTGATCACCCCTAGTTGAACACACTTGACTGTAGCACAGTGGTGTCCTTTTGGTCCTCTTGGAGAACAAAGGACAGCAACCACCTCATGCTCACCCACACTTCCTTGTTCAGTACTGCAAGGTGAGTATCTCGTTTCCAACCCTGAGGTTACTTCCCTCATTCTCTTAAGTATCTTCAGGAATGTGTAGATACCCGAGTGCCTTCCAGCTTGCCGAATATGAACACACTTGTCTCTCCCTTTTCCTGGTTTAGCCCAGTATTGTCCTAAGGTTCTGATAACTCTATTAAGAGTAAATGTCTCTGAAATCCCAGTAATATGTGCTCTAAGAATTTACTCATGAGGTGGATGCTCTCAGTTATGAGAACACTACTCTCTAGTGGTGGTTCAGAATTATATGTAAATAGTTCCTGAAAGAGGCATCTGGAAGATTAAAGGAGAAGCCAGACAGATTCAAACCATTTTGGCTCCTGCAGATATTAGAGGCCCTATCAATGATTATGGTGGCACTTCTAGCACCCTGGGTTCATATGTTTTAAATTATCCATGGCCTATTTTATCCAGTATCTATTGCTTTTAAAAAATATTGGACACTCTTCTCTACTTCCCATTTGCTACATATTTATATAATGAAAGCTACTTTCTTTAATATTTCCAGCTTTATTGAAATTCTGCTATTTGATTCCTGATCCAGATATCCCAAATGTATTTTCTCCTATAGCTGCTATAATTATGAGATTCTATACAATATTTTCTCCACTTATAAATCTTTGCTATGTCTAAAAACTGATATGGTAATGAAGAATATTCCACTTCTTTTATCATCACTTCTGTTCTCTAGCTTCTACCACTGTTGCTGTCAAACCTCTTTGGTGCCTCTGAAACTTCATCCTAACCTCTTCTACTTTGTTGTCCTCATGCGACACATTTGGGTACATTAAAGATCTACCAAATACCAGGAATGGTGAACTTGTGCTTGTATCTGAATAACCCAACTATAAACTCATTGCACCAAATTTCAAGCCTTTTCCTTGGTCATTTGTGGTCCTGTTGGATACTATATTTAAGTCATACAATATATCTATTACCTATAATCTTTGCTTATGTTCCTATGAGTGTTGGGAAATGTTTAACATAGCCAGCTCTAAAAAAATAGATATGTGACACACTTTAAAATTTAATTTGCATCATTAATATTTTCTCCATCACTTTCCTAACTCAGGACAATCAACGAAACAATAAACCAAGCCCTGATTTGTTGTTCAGTCATGTCTGACTCTTTGTGACCCTGTGGACCATAAGTATGCCAATATTGACTGTGGGGTTTTCTTGGCAAAGATGCTTGAGTGGTTTGCCATTTCCTTCTCTGGTGGGTTAAGGCAAACAGAGGTTAAGTGGTTTGCACAGGGCCCCAGAGCTAGTAATATCAGAGACCAGATTTGAACTCAAGTCTTCCTGACTCCAGGCCCACTGCTGTATCCACCGAACCATTTAGTTGCCTCCTCTGATTTGTAGCAATTGCTAATTTCCAAGGTATAAATACTCACACTGAAAATTTAACAGTTGGCTTTCCAGCTGGTAGGAGCTGGTTCCAGTACACCTCTGGTTATAACCATTCTTGTTAAGTGCTAGTAAAGATATGTAGTGTATATGCAAAAGAGAATAAGGAAGTATGAGCCAAGGAGAGTAAAGTAGATGAAGGGTAAGTTTGTGACATTGTAGAGCTATTTACTTGTGTGCTCCCCCTCATTATAGCTAAAGACATATGCCTAGCTTTCAACTGATTCATCTGCCTAACAAATATTTCATGGCTCAAGCAGAAGCTGTTCCTCAACCTCTAACTAATAAATTAGCACTAATAGCCATGAAAAGCACCTGGTGTCCTCATGCTGGAGGTGAGGGGGAGTGGCTTTTGTTCTTCGTGAGCCTGGGATGTGAAATCATTAATTTCAAAACACAAAGCAATTCTATGATTGAGGGGTACCATCAGTGGAGATTCCATTTAAGAGTTTATCTTAGATATTTATTGTGGCTTTTAAATGCAGTGTTCTTGCATTAAGCTCATGGAACAGAAACAATAAAATAGTTTGGCAAATATCTTCTGAAGATGAGATTCACTTAAAAGACTCACACAGAAAGATGAAAATGCATATCACAAGGTCAACTAGACTCTCCAGAGCATGGTTTATAAGTCTCATAAACCACATCCCATTATACCTTAGTTCTTAATTAAATGCTATATAAACTATTAAAATACAGTTATTCTGCTGTAGAATGAGGAATACCTAAGACTATGTGAGAAAAGCAAATGAACCTTTGAGGTCAGCTGTCTTATACCATAAAGTAGCTGCTGTTTTGTCTGGGAGATCAAAACTTTAATGGACCATAAAGGGGAAGAAAAAAAGGAACTAGCTTGGAGAGAAAAAGGAGGGGAAATCCACTACTTGTTTTCTAAAGCATAATGATCCAAAGCATGATATGTTTAAATGGTAACTCTTATCATTTGGTCAAATTGTCAGTCTATAAGGAAGAGCTATAACCTGGCCGCTTAGGGAACTTTCCATATAACAGTATCTGAGCCCAATGCACATAATCCCCTTATCCCCAACAAAGCAGGTTGCTTTCTGTCTTTGTACAGAAAGGCATGCAGCTGAGACACAAGATACTTCTGCAGTCTTGTGCAAATTGTGAAGGTGTTTAGAGTAGAATAATAATGAGAACAAACAATAAGAATGACTAGAAAATAAAGCCTACAATGAAGATGAAAATATCAGATCATTCTGAATTATGACTTGGATATTATGAAGGCTTAAATTTCATTCACCCTCATTTCTTAGGCCTAACTTCAATTTAAAACACTCATTTTTTTTTTTTTGTGAAATCCCCAAAAATGGGCAGAAGGAAGGAGGGAAGGAAAGACAAAGAAGAATTCTGTGGCCTGAACAAGTTGTGGTATATGATTGTGATGAAATGCTACTGTGCTATAAGAAATGATGAGTTCAGTGATTTTAGAAAAACATGGAAAGACTTGCATGAAATAATGAAGAGTGAAATGAGCAGAATCAAGAGAATACCATACAGTAACAATAATAATATTTTAAGAATAAATTTGAATAAATAAGTTATTTTGACTATTATAAATACCCAAATTAACTGTCAAGGACATATGAAGAAAGATGCTATCTGCATCCAGAGAAAGAACTGATAAATAGAAGTATGTATAGAATAATTTTACATATGTGTATGTGTACCTATTTGTGTCTAATGGCAGCCATCTCTAGGGCAGGAAGGGGAGGGAAGAAAAAAAGGAAAAAAAAGAGAAATGTACATGATAATTTTGTTGTACATTTGAAAGGAATAGCAAGTTATGCATAGCAAATTTGCAGTTTCATGTGCAATCATGTTTTTTAGTGTACTATGTTATGGAAATGCTTTTTTATTATATAAGTTAAAAATAAAAAAATTCAAAAAGCAAGAGAAGTAGAAGGAAAAACTGGGAAAAGAAATGTGGTAATGCAAGAGAATAATGAAAAAAAGAGTCAACAGCACAGTGAAAGAAACACAAAAAATGAAAAAAGATGTGCAAAAATTCACCTAAGAAATGACTCTTTGAAAAATAGAATTGGTCAAATGGAAAAGGAGATACAACAGCTCACTGAAGAAAATAATTCCTTAAAAATTGGGCAAGTAGAAGCTAATGACTTTATGACACTTCAAAAAGAAAATAAAACAAATCAAAGGAATTTAAAAAATAGAAGAAAATGTGAAATTCTCATTGGAAAAATAACTGACCTGGAAAATAGATCCAGGAGAGATAATTTAAGAATTATTGGACTACCTGAAAGTTGTGATAAAAAAAAGAGCCTGAACATCATCTTAGACATAATGGGTGGCAAAGAAGAAATTACATTTCAGATCTGTGGATAGGGAAACTATTCATAAGCTAGCAAGTTATAGAAAGAATTAGAGAAGATAAAATGGATGGTTTTTATTATGTAAAATCCAACAGGTTTTGCACAAACAAAACCAATGCAGTCAAAATTAGAAGTGAAAGTATTAACTGGGGAAAACATCTTTGCAGCAAGTTTCTCTGATAAAAAGTGTCATCCATGTTATATATGGAATTGATTCATATTTAAAGAAGAAACCTGAACTATCAATAGCCGTATTAAAAATAAATGCTTCAAATAATAGAGTTGTAAATTAAAGTAACTGCGCTTCACATTACTTCACATCAATCAGCCTGACAAAAATAACAAGAAAAAAATTACAAATGTAATGAAATTGCATGAAAACAGCTACATTAATGTAGTGTTGGTAGAGCTGTGAATGGATCTAACCATTCTGGGAAGTAATTTGGAAATATGTTGAAAAAAAGTCACTAAACTATGCATACTTCTCCACTGAGAGTTAATTTATTGTGTATTTGCAGTGGCCATTAACAAGGCACTGGTTTGTTCAAATTTATTTTTACTTTGAACTTTAAAAAACACTAAATAAGATGAACATTTCCATTTACATAGCAGAACAGAAAAAGAGGACTAGTTAGAGAAGCCAATCAGTTCTATAAAAACATATAAACTATATTTAAATAGGTTTTATGTATAAGTATATAACAAGTGTATTATAAACATACCAATTTGTTATATATACAAATAAACTATTAAAATATATAAAATAAAGTCTATATAAACTATAAAACAAAATATTAATAAATATATTTTTAAAATTAATAGAAAGCATTAATTAATTTAGCAAATTTTCAGACTATAAAATGAATACACAAATTACTGGCATTTCTGCATATTAACAACAAAACTACTAGGTCTTGTAGGTAACCAAGAAAACTAAAGCAACCTTGTTTTGTCTGCAATTCCTCTATCTTGTTCTGATCTTCTTTGTATCACACCACTTCCTTCCTTCCACCTTCCTTTCTGCAGAGACAGCAACTGTTCAAAATAGTCCTATCTATTAGGGTGGGGTTTCAAGAGATAACTAATCTGAAGAAGACACTTTCCTGTTACTAACCCCAGCAATAAGATCTGTCCAATCAAGGAATACCATATCCCTTATTCCTACCCTGCAAGCCCCCAGCAAGAAGTCTTATCCAATTCAGAAATACCCCATACCCAGTTCTCCACTTTCCTAAATTGAAACCTATATAAGCTTTGTCTTTTGTTCTGTCTGTGAGTCTCACCATGTGGGTGGGGCTCCCTTTCTGGCAAACTCAATAAACCCTACTTGGTTCTAAATTTCTGGTTTTGGCTCTGTTTTGTTCACAAGTCAATAATTTTACCCACAGTCTAAACCTCAGAGAGATCAAAGAAAGCAGAAAAAGACCCATATGTACAAAAATATTTGTAGCAGCACTTATAATTGAAAAGCACTGGAGACTAAGGGCATGACCATCAATTCTCAAATGGCTGAACAAATTATGGTATATGGATGTAATGGAAAATATTGTATCTTTAGAAATGACAAAAATGGACAATTCCAGAGAAACATGAGAAGACTTCCATACGTAGATTGACACAAAGAAGTGAGCAGAGCTAAGAAAACAATTTATATGATAACATAAATAAAAACAACATAAGACTCAAGGATTCTTCTCCATACAGTGACCAGTTATAAGTCTAGAGGACTGGGTATGAAGCATGCTACCTAACTCATGACAAAGAAATGATAGCCTCAAGATGCAGAATAAGACATGCATAGTCAAGCAGAAGCTGTACGTAATATAGACATGTAGTTTCATGTAAAATCTTTTCCTGTTGTACTTTGTGTATGAAAATGTCCATTTTATTTGCTGTTTAAGTTCAGAATATATATGCATGTGTGTATATATGTGCATGTACATGCACATATATGTATACATAAATATATACACATACATTAGACAGTATCATTGAAGATAAAGCAACTGGATCAAATTGGGTCAGATTTAGAAAATCCTGTAGCCTTTTCCATCATTCTCACTACTATAAAAAGTCTATGTCTTTAATGCCAACTTTCTCCTGATGGTACCATATGACTATCATTCATAGAACATTGTAATCTCAGAAGAAGAATTGAAGGTAGTCCAAAGGGCAATGAAAAAACTGAATGCCCATTATAAGTAGGCTAAAACAAATTATCGTTGTGGCTATTTAAAGGTAATGGATGTGGAGCAGTCATGGAGCAAAGGATGGGCAGTCCAAGTACAACAGTGGTACCCTGGAGATAGCAAAAGAATCATAAAATGACCTTTGGTACCTAGATCCTCCATGGGAATTTATAAAAGGACATGACCATAAATCACACAAGAGCAAAAAATGATCAGAATTTGCCAGCAACAGCAATGGAGAGTGTACCTACAGCAGAGAAATCACAGATCCTTCTAAGTACCATTTTTATCTTTACAAAAGCTCTTTAAGTTAGGTGCTAGGTAACCTGACTCCTTATCTGTAGATAAGGAAACAGATAAGAGATCCCACTGAATTGTGAGCTCCTTAAGGGCAGAAACTATATTTTACCTTTTATGGTACAAGGGCTTAGTATAGTTCCTGACACTTGATAAGCACTTAATGAATGTTTATTGGCTGGCTGACCTGACTGGGTTTCAAAGATCCCATTGCTGGTCTGTGACATGGCCAGTACTAAAACCTGGATCTTTGACCAAAATTCTCACGTTGTTTCCACTAGGCCAACAGAGTCCATATATCTTCTTAGCCTTTGATAAGAGTAGGCAAGTATATGTGAACTTAGATAATATGGCCTCAGAGATTTCTAAGGGATCTTTCCAGATACAGTCATTGATATGTAAACAAAATTCCTCTTGTGGCAATAAACAGACCTCTAGACAGGTATTAAATATCAAGTTAAAAATAGTTAAAAGTAAATGAATGTTACAGAAAGTCAGAATGGCAACTCCCAGTGGTTATTGTGTTGGAGAGAGTCTATGAAGAATGTTCAATTAGGGATGACAGTAGACTCAGCCAAGATCACTGTGACTGTGTCATTCACCCAGGAGGTGCAATAGGGTGCTGTGCATGTCTAGCAGGTGATTCTCTTTTAATGTTTGAGCTTCCCACACAAAATTTCCAATAGTAGATGTGATGGGACATTAATGATGGACCCCTAGAAGGCCCTAGACTTTCCCACCTGGCCCAAGTCCCTGGTCCTTCTCTGTTACCTCCCAGTCACCCAGACTATTGGCCATTCTTTGACCACTGTATATAAGTGCCCCCATTAAATCCTCAGATCCCTTAAGAGTCTGGCCCGGTTGTATTCTCATTACAAAGGGTCAGATTCTTAAAATCTAGCCAATAGCATGGATTCTTAAAATCTCACCCATTCCAGCCAGTGTTTTAATAAACCTGACTTTGGCTGAAAGAAGGGTTGGGTCAAATTCATTTGAGGCAGAACCTGCATCGCTTGCTCTTGAATTTTGTGGTCCCAGCACCCCTAGACCTCAACATTTTGGTTCCCTGATACTGGGAAACTGCCTGGTCTCAAGCTCTTCTCCAGCCAAGATTGAAAGATATGTAAGCCTCCCCTCTTTCCCTATCCCTTTCTTGACCTGCATTTGGGGTCACTCTCCAAGCACCTGGGAAGGCTTGGAGATGCTTTTCAGGCCTGATGCTCAGGTCTAATTTAAGTCAGACAGTTATGAGGCTGTCTCAGGCTCTCAGTCCATCGGTTTGGTTCGAGGCCATGGACCTGGGCACACCTTCACCAGCATAAAGGATAAAGACAGATGCCCTATCCAGAAGTGTATGACCAATTTTGTCAATTCTGTTGGCATTAGGGAATTGGGAAAACTGCAGGTGCTTTTTAGTTCACTGAGGCTTACTTACTCCCTTCCCCCCATACCCTATGACTCCCTATCCCCACACCTGTGATTGCAAGATCTCCCTTCTCTCACAGCCTCATGGCCACCTGATCCTTGCAGCCAGACCCAGCAGGACTTCCCCGAGATTTGCCCCTAGGTTGGAACTGGAAAAAAGTTTGGTCCCCAAGACCTTGAAAAGGAAAGCTTTATGCCTGACCTCTATGATCTAGAAGACCAAGATAAATTGTAGAAGTTCAAAGAAAAATCCTTAATATTCTTCTTCCTGTAGCCCTGGCTCTGACCAAATTGAGGCTACACGGAAAAGTTAGAACAGCTAAAGACATCTTAGCAGATTCTGGAGGTTTTGTGATTGATCATCAAGGAGTTTTGAAACACCTCCTTACAACCCTGGTCACTCCCTTCTTCCACTTCCTTCCCTTGAGTCAAGGGTATCTCAGTTCAGGGATTGCAAACAGCCTCAGGGTTTTATGTTAACTCCTCACATCCCAGATCAGACTAGGGTAAGAGAGTTTCACTCTTCCTCCCCCACCTTTGAATTCGCCCTCCCTGACCTGGTGAAAAAAGGAGGGGGGAGGTGAAGCAGCTACAGTGGACCCCACTGGTGATGGCCTTAGGCCCTGGGGCAACCCTGAAAGCCTGGAAGTGTCACCCAGGTTCAGCACTTCTGGCTCACCACCATTCGCCCACCTCAACCCCCAGCAGCTATGGGGACAGAAGGAAGGAGGATGGGTCAAAGTAAAGAAACTAGCCAGCCTCCGAACTTGCGTAAGCCTGCTCTTTTAAAGTTGTAGTTTTAACACGTTAATGATAAGATGTCGATTCTCTGTGTAAAATAATTTGGAAATGCATTCAACAAAATTGAAGTCATCTAATTGGTAATGGGTTTGTTTTAAGTTTCAAATTGGTAAACTTTTATATCAGTTTTGTCAAGCAACTTTTCATAGTTAGGTTACAGCTAAAAAGAATTTGGCTATCACTTATGAAAATTGTAAGATTGTTGGTTATTGTTTTAATGCTGAAACCTAAAACCAGTAATTTATTACTGTGTGTATGGAAAGGAGGGGATGAGGTGAAAACCTCATCTTGTTTGGGTTTTAGAGTTCTAAACTATGAACTTGGGTTGCTGAGAATTTGTAAGTATGTAAAAATGATCTCTAACTATTGGCTTTTACACCAGGACAAATTTAAATTTGAGATGTAAGTCCTGGAAATTTTTTCCCAAAGCTGTAATTAGTGAAACTTGCTATTTGAGGCAAAAGCTCTTGGGATCGTAACTGATTTTATTTTGAGTTGTCTGATGGATCATAATAATCCATCAATAATCAATAACTCAACAACAATCCATCATCTGAAAGAAATGCCACAAGCTATTCAAAGAGAATGTGATACAGATGGGAGGTCTGCATCAGGAAAAGCTGAGAGGACAATTTTAGACTCAATCTAAGATGGATCCTCCTGGCTCAGTTTCCCCATTATGTTCCTTTGAAAAGTAATGTTAGCCACCTGGCTATTCCTGAGTCTGGCTATGAGGTGGAATTGATACTGCATGGTTGGAAAACTGTGAATTCAAATAGATCTGAGGATATTTTATCCTGTCATATTTGGTATAAATCTTGTCCCTGCTTTATCATTTTATAGCATATTTCTACAATCAGAGCAAGTGGTCAGTAACAGATATAAGCACAAAGCAAGTGTATGGGATCTTGCTGTTTTGACCTGAACGTGTAGTCATTCCATATTCCAAATTACTGAAATTAAATCAGAAACATTTTCAGTTTGATTTGGAGAACAAAGGAATTTGGAATCAGAGTGGAAGCTTGGGGCAGTAACAAGATCAGATAATCCTGCAGGTCACATGTAAATGATTTTAACAGAGTCTTTGCACTTTTACTTTTCCCTGTATCTGGGCCTTTGGACTTACTTGTCAGATTTGTGTCTTCCAGACTTACAGGCCATTCACCTACAGTTGGTAGCAAACAGTGAGTATCAGCCAATGTGCCCCCATTTTCCCCTGGATACAGCCTGTGCTCCATTCCAGTCAATCCTATCTTTGGCACCCCCTCGAGGCAGGGACAGCTCTGCCTCTTGTCAGCAGGAAGCAGTACAAACCTTGAAAATTGGTAATGAAGAAATTATCCAAGAGGTTTTAAAATATACTGAGATTATGCTCTTTAAGTAAAAATAAAGAATTATTTCAAACTAAGCTACATAATTAATGAGGCACAGCTCAGTGCTTTTATCATGACTGTGCACAGGAAAGATATCAATAATAAAAATACAGAGTAGAAAGATGGAGTGTGTTTTTCTGTGATAAAACTCATTACTGCTTCATGTCTATGACTTGAGGAAAGAAACATTTGCTAATCAAAATGGACTAGTGGAATTTTTTATTCTTGGGCT